TCTTCGGGACATGTTGAATGGAACTCAACTAATGGCTCGCAAAAGAGAGTTCCACAGTCCGTTGTTAATATTATGAGTTCGATCCCCATTGACTGTCCTACCATCGTGAAACCCTTCCACATACTGTCGGCTGCTTTAACCGTCTCAAGTGACCGATATGATGTCATCAAACGATGTCAATGATTCGCTATTGAAACTCTATGTTATTAAAAAAAAGGTGTTCGGTAGCACTCAGGTTTTTAATGTTTCAAACGTTTCTAACTAGTTTCATGCCTTACTTGCACCAGTTCAGACCTTCACAGCTAGAACTAGCCATGCCACTTACACTACGTCAAATCATTATCAATCCTTTCATATTCTTTCGGTAAGTAGTAAGTTCGACTTAAATAGCCTCTGTTACGTTGTGAAACAGACTCCCGAGATGATGCTTCCCGCTGTCACTACAACTTTAACATTTCCAAGTCTAGGGCCAACCGATATCTACCCTACTTATCCTCGTAATATGAACTACTTCTTACTTCCCCTCTTTTACGCTCTTACAACTACCTCACTCAGTAAAATTCTACCTTGAGTGGCCCTTAGGTCTTCTGTTGTGTGAACTAAGGCGAAAGAAACTATTAAGGAAAATTTTACATGTCGTATCATCACAAATAAGATATCAGAAATATTGAATATGTGGGTTGCGCTTGTGTTACCGGCGCAAAAATTGAAATGGACGAGCCGAGTTCAAATTTCAGTCTTGACTGTTGCATTCCCTTTTACATTGATACCATTGAAAAAGGCATCAGTCAACATCTTCCCCAGCCATAGAGTACATAGAATGGTATAATGGCCTGTCTATCCTTGGTTGACCACCAGTCTAAGAGAAGGACTATTCTGAATTCAAAATCTCGTGGAAGACTACAGGAAGCTATTGCAATATTTCTCCCAAACAAGAAGTCATGGTAAATCATGAATATTAAATGGAGGGAGGCTGTGGAGAGCCAAGGCTTCCTATGTTGGGGAGGGATATGGCAATTTAAAAGAATAAAATTATTAGAGATATAAAAATTTTGCGATGACTAGGTAAATACTATTAGTAACTGTTGTAACATAGGGAAGGTTACTGAATAGAATAATCAAACGAAGGTTGGTAATAAACGATAATACTTAGGACAAGAACAACACATATAAGATTCGCCAGTAGTGTATAGAAGAAGTAGTCAACTACTAGAATTGAGTCAAGTGAATTCCACAATGAATTTCCAACTGCAGGATAGCTACCAACCGCCCTACGCGATCAGATGCGGCACAAAGCCGAATTTAGTTTGGAGTATCCGAGCCCGTAGGCTCGGCCAAAAATTCCGTATAAAAGGGGGTCGGGTAGCTGTTTCCCAAGACGACAGTCTGCCTTCGACCTAGGGTCGTTTGGGGAATCCTCTCTGCCCGGAAACAGAGAGTTTGACCAGCACAACTGGAGACGAATCTCCAACTGCAGACCAACATACAGTTTTACTACTGTATTTATAAGAATGGGGACATTCCTATTAACGTCCGTAGATATGCTACAACAGTAACAGAAATATTAGTAGATATAGTATTATTTAAAAATATTAGTATAATTAAAAATAATATTTAGAATAGAAATACTATTAATATTAAATAGCATTATTTGTAATATTAGCGGTAAAAATGTTGTTAGTCTTAATTTGTGTTATTTGAATATTAGCGGTAAAAATGTTGTTAGTCTTAATTTGTGTTATTTGAATATTAGCAGTAATATGTTGTTGGTATTATGTAGTATTATTTGCAAGATTAGGGATAGAAACTGTATTAGTATTAATTAGTATTATTTTTAAGGTTTGAGCGGATTAAATATCGTTGATAATACGTAGTATTGTTAGTAATAATTAGTATTATTTGTAATATTTTTATAGATTGTTACTAAGTATTTTATGTCGTATTTTATTTATGCCCAACTTTGCAATATCGTTCAAGAATTGTTGAAAATTCTTTCCATGTTGACCACATCGATCGATAAATAAAAGAATTGATCTATCGATTGTACTGAACTGTAAAACACGACCTTATTATGTTTTGATCAATAATCTTTAACTATCCTTTCTGTTTGAAGATCGTTCCCACAAAATATGTGATTACAAAAATGAAATACACTTTTAAAATTTGTAACACTCACGATACGTACACGTTAAATATCGTACATTTGACAATGAGACAAGCACCAGGTTTTCCATTCTAGTGAACATTTGTCAAGGAGTAAGTCAATGGTCTAGAGATGCGGTTGGAAATGCTTTTGTGAGATGAAAGCAATTTGTTACCTACAAGTATTCGACACAACGCTGTTAACTAAATTCCTCAAACCCCTCATTATCAATAAATGACATTCTTGGCTTGTACAATGAACGACTTCGATTTCTGACATGTCAAAATATTCACACGACGCATGGACTTTCGCTGTACCGTTTCCTAAGACTTTTCTTAATTTTCTTTTGATGTGACGTATACCCTCAGGACGTTGACGATCACGGCACTCCGAAATTTTCCATCTCTTCCACAACCTGCTCTGCCATCCATTTATTCAAGCTCGCCAGATAGGTTATGCGTTGTTTATCGTTTTTCCCTCTTGCCTTCAATTTTCTCATTTTTGTTAAATCTTCTAGACCTTGTTCCACCCTCCATTTAAACAAACTCACACTTCCTCTTCTATCTGTCAAGTTCGTTCAGGACGTGGTTGGTCATAGCTCTTCACAGCTTCCTGTTCTTTATCGCTCCTTATAACTTTTGTCCGTTTGCCATCTCTGCGAAACCTTGCTCTGCCATCAATTCATTCAAGCTCGCCAGATAGGTTATGAGTTGTTTTCCTCTGTCCCTCTTGCCTTCTATCCGTCATGTGAGTAGCAAATTTCCCAAGCCCTCTTTCCTCATTAGAATTTTCTACTGTCCCTTCCTGATGTTAAGTATGTGTCCCTTTTGTTGCCGCTGTCTCTAGAACTTGGTTGTTGCACACACAACCTCACCAAGTAGGTTATGCGTTGTTTGTCGTTTTTCCCTCTTGCCTTCAATTTTCTCAATTTTGTTATATCTTCTAGACCTTGTTCCGCCCTCAATTTAAACAAACTCGTTATTCATCTTCTATCTGTCTAGTTCGTTCAAGACGTGGGTGATCACGGCTCTCCACAATTTCCTATCCTTTGTAGATCTTAATAAATTTTGTGTTTTTATTATCGCCACTGAATTTTGTTCTCCCATCCATTTACACAAGTGGCCCTTCTTCTTTTATATGCTATGTCTCTTCAGGACATTGACGATCATGGCTCTCCACAATTTCCTGTCCTTTGTAGATCTTAATAAATGTTATCTTTTTGTTATCTCCCCTAAACTTTGTCCCCCCATTGTTCCACCCTCAATTTAAACAATCTCGTTATTCCTCTTCTATCTTTTGAGTTCGTTCAGGACGTAGGTGCTCATGGCTCTCCGCAATTTTTCTGATATTTGTAGCTCTTAATAACTTTTGTCTGTTTGCTATCTCTGCCAAAACTTGCTCTGCCATCAATTCATTCAAGCTCGCCAGATAGGTTATGAGTTGTTTTCTTCTGTCCCTCTTGCCTTCTATCCGTCTTGTGAGTAGCAAATTTCCCATTCTTTCCTCATTAGAATTATCAGCTATCACTTCCTGACGTTAAGTACATGTTCCTTTTGTTGTCATTGTCTCTAGATCTTGATTGTTGCACACTCAACCTCGCCAGGTAGGTTATGCGTTGTTTTTTTCTGTCCCTTTGTCTTCAATTTTGTCAGTTTTGTTATATCTCGTAGACTTTCTTCCACCATCCAATTAAACAAGCTCGCTATTCCTCTTCTACCTGTCGAGTTCATTCAGGACATGGCTGATCATGGCTCTCCACAATTTCCTATCCTTTGTAGATCTTAATAAATTTTGAGTTTTTGTTATCTCCACTAAATTTTGTTCCACCATTCATTTACACAAGCTCGCCTTACTTCTTCTAATCCGCTGTGTCTCTTCAGGACGTTGACGATCATGGCTCTCCACAATTTCCTGTTCTTTATCGCTCTTAATAACTTTTGTCTGTTTGCCATCTCTTCCAAAACCCCCTTTTGCCATCAATTAACTCAAGTACGCCAGATAGCTTATTCGCTATTTTCCTCTGTCCTCAATCTGCCCTGTGAGTATCAAATTTTCCAAGCCATCTTTCCTCATTAGAAATTTCAACTGCCTCTTCCTGCTGTTAAGTATAAGTTCCTTTCTTTGTTGCCATTGTCTCTAGAATTTGGTTTTTGCTCACATGTTTTGACTGCTTCAAGTCTCTTCTTTATTTGTGAGAAGATTGTCCAGCATTCACTGCCATTCTGGAGAACTGATACTACATAACAGTTCAGTATGTTTCTATATTTTTCGGTTTTTTCAATACCTTAACACTATTTAACGATATTTTTTGTTTCTTAATAATTTGCACATTTCCTTAATCTTTTCTTTTTATCAATTGTAAATTCCGCTTTCACAAGCATTTTATCTATAACCAGTTTAATTTTTATTAGGCGCTCAAAAATATTTTGAGCAAACCTTTATACACTTTTTCCCTTCTAATTTAAAACAATTGTGCGTCCTGGGTAAGATGATAAACTACACCCGCGTCCTGGGTAAGATGATAAACTATATCCAATAGCAAGGCCTCTTATAAGGAGGTTTTGAGGAGTGTGGGACCGTCTCTTGATTGGTGGTGTTTCCAGGCCGACCCTAACTCGGGGTGGTCGCAATTGTTAGGATCCCAACTATGGGAAAATAGTTAACACCCAAAATGGGTTCAAAACACTATGAAAGTGTAAAAATAGGCTTCAATACCAGCAATGCATGTCTGAGGAAAAAATATTACCAGCAATACATTTTTGGGAAAATATTACCAGCAATAAAAATAATTGTCGGCATTAAAATACACATTAAGGTTGATATGCCGAAAAACAAAACAAACCAAACCAATATATACCGCGATAGATAGATAGATAGATAGATAGATAGATAGATAGATAGATAGATAGATAGAAAATATTACCTGCAATAAAAATCTTGTCGGCATTAAATAACCGACTGAGGTTGATATGACGTAAAACAAAATAAACCAAATAAATATATACTTAGATAGATAGATAGATAGATAGATAGATAGATAGATAGATAGATAGATAGATATGACGAGACCAAGGGAGATAGATAGACATGAATAGACCAGGATAGATAGATAGATAGATAGATAGATAGATAGATAGATAAAAAATATTACCAGTAATAAAAATCTTGTCGGCATTAAATAACGCATTGAGGTTGATATGCCGTAAAACAAAACAAACAAAACCAATATATACTGTGATAGATAGATAGATAGATAGATAGATAGATAGATAGATAGATAAAAAAATATTACCAGCAATAAAAATCTTGTCGGCATTAAATAACCCATTGAGGTTGATATGCCGTAAAACAAACCCAACCAAACCAGACTAAAACGATTGTAAATAAACAAATTCTCTCAGTTCAATTCCACTTAAAGTAGAAGTCCTTTTATTTCGCGCTTCGTCATCCAGGAATGTTGTTCCTTATTGATATTTTTCTCTATGGGAATATATTCCGATGTTGTCTTCTGAAATTCTGTCGTAAATTAAAATATGTCTGCAGGTGGCACGATAGAGTAATAGATTGACCAATCAAAAAGCCGAGTTCGAATCGCCGTCGAAATCACTACATTCATTTACATCCTAATACCATTAGGGTAGGTATGAATGCGTCTCTTCTGCCCGTTCCAGCTAGTAAATAGCATTAGAGAGTGGGTCCTATAACCTTTGATGGCAACCGGTCTAGGAGAAGGAAAAACTCTGAATTCAAAACCAGCTTGGAGAGGTTTTTGACTCCGTCGGGCTATCATGAGAAATCCAACCAACTTCTACCTTGCAGGCCCTGCCTCTTTAGACAAAAGCGAAAAGAAAGAACTGCCCCCACCCGCCTACTTCGAGACACAACAGAAAATAATGGACTCTTAGGGTTTAGTAAAATGCTTCGAGTAAACACGTGGCTGGGGTACGGCGCAGTAGACTTCTGATTTCTGACTATTCGCCCATGGATGTATCACCCACAACAGCAGGGGAATTAGAAAGAGACTAGTTTAACTATTTATTAGGCAAGAAATATTTAAAATATTGTCACCCGAGTGGAATAAAAAAAAAAATTAAGGCTTGATGTTATTTTACTACAACAATGAATTCACACATTATGAAATGGACAATGACCGACAATTATTTTAAGTCATTTTTATGTTTACACGTTCTTTTTATAGTTACAAATATTTAAGTAAATGCTCTGTTTATAATAAACAGTATTAAACAACATTTACCGGCTTGAATGTCCGAGAAATTTTCACAGAAAATATTCGTCCTCCGACAGGAATCGAACCTGTATCCTATACGGACCCGTCATATAGCCGGACGTGCCTTTAACCGATTTGGCCACAGAGGAGCGTTCGGTTATCAAGGTAGATTTTACTGTCTTTGAACTACAATCTTCCATGATTCTCTCACGTATATTCATATCTGCTCATGCCGTATCAAATGTAAACAAATGGCATCACACATTATGAAATGGACAAAGTCCGACAATTATTTTAAGACATTTTTATGTTTATACATTCTTTTTATAGATACAAATATTTAAGTAAATGCTCTGTTTATAAAAAAAACAATATTAAACAACATTTACCGGCCTGAATCTCCGAGAAATATCCATAGAAAATATTCGTCCGCCGACAGGAATCGAAGACCTAACAATCGACCAGCGATTTTGCAAACTTATAGCTTCTCTTCTCATATCACCCTGTAGATAAGATGAAAAATTATTCCAAATATTTCGAATTCTCTGTATCCTTTACCGTCAAACTACAACTTGTTTTGGTATATAGAATTCTCTTTATCTGCTCAGCGGCTCTAACAAATCCAATATATCAAATAATTCTTCTGATTATTCATCATGATGGAATCCATAATTTCCGTGACTGACAGCTCAATGAGATAGAAAACATGCAAAAAAAATATTTAGATAGCTAAATACTGAATTTCTACATATAAAAGATTTTGTCAAAAACTTGTATATCAAAACCTCTGGGTTTTTTTATCGCACAAAAGTAAAATTATCCGTAAGATCTTTAATGACCAAATTTGGTTATTTTTTAAAGACCAACGCTACTAAATATTATATTTTGGTACTTAGGACTTTCTGGCGGGCTACCTTTTAAATAAGTTTCACTAACATTAAAAACTAATTAAAAATCAGCAATATTATCTGTCCTGATCTGGTATCTCGGCATCAGTTACTTTCCCCCCGCCGTAAGATTGCCTCCCTGTGTCTTTTCTATAAATACTTTCATGGTAATTTTTCGGATTTACAGTTGAGCTGGATAGATGTAGCCGTAATTTTTTTATGTTAACCATTTCTTTTCTCGCACTTCTCACTTGCGGAACTCCCTTCCGGCACTATGCTTTCCAGCCAACTTTAATCCCTAAAAATTTAAATCTGTATCCTCTCTTATTGATTACTCTTTTCTCTTCACCCTCATTAGTAATGTTTATGTTCCTAATATCCCACTCCCAGTAACCCCTGGTGTCTTATAATGGCTTGCTTGGATTTAAAAAACGTAAATCTTTTCAGCATTTAGTAATGCTGGGCTTTCACATGAAGTCCAATTCATGACTTGTAGCCCCCAATCTCTCAAACGTATTTGTAGATTATCAATGTTTCATTAACAAGGGAATATTAAGTAGGGGTTCAGCTTTATTTTACAACCAAGATATAAAGAGAAACCCTGTCAATTTCGTAACTTGCTATTCTTGGTGTCATTAAAAAGCGAAGAAGGGAATCAATTCGAAGTATTAAGAGACAGAAAGATTCTTTTGGATCCAAAGAAAAGTGCTGAACAGCCAGATAATATCAATCCTCATCTATGACAAATGATACTGGCCAATTTCCGCACAAATCAAGAAAAGAATTCAGGCATCAGAGATGTGGTTCTACAGATGGATACTAAGAAAATCATTGTCAAATCATTCTTTAGAAATACGGATCATTTAAGGAAAAGAAAGAAAAAATATAACACCTCTATACAATTCAAGAGTTTGTGGACCTCAGAATTTATTAATTATTAGGTTTCCTCCCATCTTTAGTTTAGCTGCCTCCTACTAAGACAGTAGGTTGAAACTACAGGATGATTGAATATCAACTCCCTATTTTATATATGAGTGGCTGGCCAGGACTCGTGACTTAACCTCCTGTGATATTTTTTCTTTTGTTGCTTAAAGGAATAAGTCTACTAAACCAAACGTAGACTTTGAAAGAACTTCATGAGCGAATACAAGAAGTTATGTCTTCCATACTACAAGAGTTCCTGGTGAAATTAGTTGACGCGATTCCTGGGAGGTTGGAGGAGTGTGAAACCACCTCTTAATGACTGGTGTCCCCAGGTCCACCCAGAACCGGGGTGGTAGCACCTGTTAGGGTCACAGCTATGGGCAAATAGTTAACTCGCAAACTGGGGTAAAAATCACCATGAAAGGTTACATTTTGTTAAAGATTATTACTAGCAATAATTTTTTTAAGAAAAATTATTACTAGCAATACATTTTTGAAGAAAAAAACAATTAGTAGCAATACATTTTTGCAAAAAAATATTACCAGCAATAAAAAAATATATTGTCGGCATTAAATAACCCGTTGAGGTTGATTTGCCACAAAACAAAACAAACCAAACCAAACCGGAAATTGTAGAACATTTTATTACAAACGACTAACTTAGGCAAGTATCTTAAGTTACACATTCCGAAAAAAAAATATTCATAATCTACCGACCTTTCGACCTTTCGACCCTCATGAGGATAGTTACGTATACAAATTCCTAACTTCCCGAACTGAGATAATTAACAGAATGACAGGAGAGTTCCATAAGATTTATACTAAGCTGTTTGACTAATAAACTAACAGAAAATTCTAAGATAAGCAAGATTACCATCATATTAAGCACATTTCAATTGCATGCCTTCACACGGCCGGCGTTTCATTTGTTCTGACGCGTTGATTACCAGTAGAGCCGTTTTTTTTTTTATTACAAGACAAGCAAACTTTGTGCAAAGATTTATATTTTTTGTAAGTTTATATAGTTTTATACTACAAAATTGTTTTAAAATATAACCTAAAGACAGAAATACTGTCGAAATATAGTCAAACATATTTTTTCTTTTTTTGAATCTCGCTCTTCTCTTAATTATTATTATTATTATTATTATTATTATTATTATTATCATTTTCTTTGATATCTGGCGTTTAGACATTTCTTTCCGGGTCCCGCCCAGAATGGCATCATGACATTTTCCACTGACAAAAAAAAAAATTACATAGATAAAGCCCTTCGTAAAGTGTGGGCTGTACTTGTCAGAACAATTTTTGTATCTTCTTGAGGCATAGACTTCCAGAAATCCCTTCAATTAGTCTACTGCAATCTTTTCCAACCAGTCCTAGGGCTCCAACTACAACATGGATTGTTGATGTTCCCATATGCTACATTTTCGAGATTTCTATTTCAAGGTCCTTGTACTTTGACAACTTTTTGAATATCTTCAAAGATACATTGCAGTCAGCAGGGACTGCCATATCAATAAGGAGGCACCGTTTTTGTTTGTGGTCTTTAACAACAATATCTGGGCGGTTGGCCTTGATTGTTCTATCAGTGTGTATTGTGTAGTCCCATAGAATTGTAACAGGTCCTATCTCCGTAACCGGGTCTGGGTGGTGTTCATACCATTTTCTTTCATTTTTATTATTATTATTATTATTATTATTATTATTATTGTTGTTGTTGTTGTTGTTGTTATTATTATTGTTATTATTATTATTGTTGTTGTTATTATTATTATTATTATTATTATTATTATTATTATTATTATTATTGAATATATGATAAAACCATTCAAGAAGAGAATGTACCTCTGGTCCGAAGTAAGCTAATAATTTAGTTTTAAGAAAGACATGGAACCTTCCAATAAAATAATAACCAACAGATGACATCTACTATACGACACTCTGTGATTGATACATCAAGAAATGAAAGCTTTTGTTTACATTCGTTCGGTCGTTCGTTCGTCTGACATCAAAAGTTTGCTTGATTGATACGAAACTATTGTCATATCGTAAGTATCCGGGGTTTTTTGTTGTTGCTTTTTTTGTTTTGTTTTGTTTTTTGTTTTTTAAAAATCACATCCACACGACATCATTCGTTGTTTGAAGATGCATTAACAGATAATCTGAAACATCAGTTATTGTTAATGATTGGGAGCAGAAGATAATTAGAGATTTACAGCGTAAATGCAATTTTGTGGAGTTTTTGTCTTTCTTTTGGAGTGCT